TATCAAACGATGAGATCAGCCGATTAATTGTATCGTGTACAATATTTTACACCCCCAAGGAAAATACTGTAGGTCTACGGTAAAATCGATTTCGTTTTCCCACAGTTAAACTTCGCTGCTAATTGTTGTGATAACTTTAATACGAACTTCTAACGACAGCACATTTTTTTCGTTTTTCGGACATTTTCCAACAAACTGAAATGAATTTCCTTTGTTGCTAGACTAATTTATTAACACCTGCACCTAATTTCAAGGGCGGGAGAAGTGCCCGGGATGGATTCGAACGAGAGTTTAGACTAATTTATTATATTAGGAGGTAAAAACGTTGTTGAGATGGGTTCTTACAATAGTTTAGACCAGATACATTCGCGAAAGTGGTCGCTTATTACAGGTGTTATATGTTGTTCCGAACCAAAAATCGATGCCCACAGATCGATGTCGCATTACACAGGTGGTCGTTTAATACAGGTAACTTATACGAAGACTCTATGGGTAAACTATTCCATGCCAGAAATTTTTGCCCGTTTTGACAGGTGCCCGTCGAATGCAGGTGGTCGCCTAAGCAGTTTTCACTGTATTTAGTTTGCGTAACTTCACTTAACCTGGCTGAATACAGCAGCAACCTTCTTGGCCCCCGAAATGTTTGGTGAAGGAAATATGGCCCGTGGGCTATGATAAGTTGGACAGCGCTGGCTTATAAGACCACACCCACCAGTGCCCTTTTGGTAATGTCAGGATTGACCCCTATCAAATTAGAAATTAAACATTATTTGGCAGGAAAATCTTGTCACCTTACCCTAGTGAGATTATAGTGACTCGGATGTCAACAAAATGATTAAAATAGGTAAGATTCCCCCAAGTTTGACCTTGATCGATGATATCAAAAAATTCAGCATCAACAAAAATACCCTCCCAACTTATGACTACCATCCCTCCCACCAGCTTGCCCCTGACATTTACTTTATAGATCCAGGTGATCATTCCATGTTTAGGATTTATACTGACGGTTTCAAGATGGGTGACAACGTGGGTGTGGCTTTTGTAGTTTACTCTGACTTAAACCATCAGCTTCACAACACTTGCTTCCATCTAGGTTAGGTTAGGTACACACTGCTCAATAACACAGGCAGAAACTTTAGATATTTATATGAGCTTAATTCACATTGTAAGGAACCAAGTCCGAGCGTTATTTTTAGTTACTTTTATTTTTGCTTATTATCCTATTTTTGTTTGGGGCTTATGTTTTGTTAGGATGAAGGTTTCCTCACCATTCACCTTACAAACTTAAAAATAGAAGAGAAACCAACCACCAACGAGAGAAAAGTGCCATAGGAAAAACTCACGAACATTTGCACTCTCGAGCGGAGAAAAGGGGGAGACTCCACAAGCATAACTTAGGACCTTGCTAAACCTTAAAGAATAAAAACATCCCAAAAATTGTCAAAAAGAATAATGTAAAAGGTTAGCGAGTATTGTCGGAAAATAGGCTGCCAGACAAATAGAAAAAGTTTGTTAGCAAATAAGTATGTAAATGAGGGGAGTGATTGCATTCAGAATTGTGATGTCACCTCACAGTATAAAGACCGAACCTCAAGTGAAGATGGATGAGGTGAGCTTCTGTTAGCAATGAGCGTGGTGAGCTTTGTAGCAGTAAATGAGAGAGAGGTGTCCGATAGGATAAAATAGTTCCAAGGCAAGTTTGAAGTTATTCGATTTGTGGATCGAAGATTAGGGAAAGTCTTGAGTTGAGGAAAAGGGTTCCTAGTATATTCAGGTGACGATTAGGATCTTTAATTCATAAGAATTATTGTATATAAGTCAAGTCTTTGAAATTTTGTCGAATTCCAAAGGGGAATAGAATTAAGTTAGAAAATAGATTGAATTGAGTTTTGTCAGGTTGATTCTTATTGATTTTCATTGAATAAATTGTTATTTGATTTTTTACTAAATTCTGTATATAGTTATTACTAGAATTTTATTAAATATTGGATTGTTATTGACTAACTTTGTCATTATTTAATTTGGTGCATGCTTAAAATCCAGGCCTGGCACACTAACGCGTATCTGTGTAAAGTACCCGTTAGGGAACAGCTATTTCCGGCACACAGTCGTGTCGATAATCGTTGTAGAAAGTCGGAAAAATAATATAGTGCTTTACAACATTAGGTGTAGGGAGGACAAAAGACACTACTTAACACTATTGCATTTATTCTGACAGTAGGATGGCTTTACACAGGATTGCAAAGTCTGATAGCTACTTAAAACTCATCCATCTCATACACTACATTTTTAGATACTTAAACATTAGAATAGATTTCCAATGGGTCCTGGGTCATGCGGGGGTTCTTGGCAACGAGACTGCTGACCATCTTGCTAAACAAGCTGCAAAGTCTTCAGTCACTAGTATTTTCAGTTACATTCCTACCTCGTACATCAACAATCATGTCAAGAGGCAAAACTTCATTCTCTGGCAAGACAGCCAGGACCATGACACCACTGGTTTACCTAAACTTCCATCCCCAAGGTTGACACTACTGCGATTCTTCATCACTTTTATCCTAGTTACACCCTCACTCAGCTACTTACAGGACTCGGCAACTTTAAGCAATATTTTCATAGATTTAACCTTGGGGACAGTCCACAATGCAATTATGGTATTCAGGAGGATCAAACACCGCCGCAATAGGTATAATCACATTAGGGATATTTTAATGAGAGCTGCTATTCTTGAAAGGTACAACTGGCCTTGCAACCTGCACCAACTCATTCACATGTGTACAATGTTCTATCATCTACTCACATTCATATCACTTAGTGGGGCTCTTGAGAACACTCACTCCAGGGACACGGATGGCAATTAGCTTTCTCTTACTTTGTTTCAACTGTCGGTATATAGCTGCCTGTCAACTTTGTATTTTAATTCTTATTTTCTGTCTTCTTTTTCAGTCTAAATTCGGTTAGTTAGGTTAGGTTAAGTTGAATTAGATTAGGGTTTGTTAGCTTTAATTGTCTGATTAGATTCATCCTAGGTTATGGTAGGTTAGTTTAGTTAGTAAGTTAATGTTTAAAAAAATAAAAATTTTAAAAATTTTGGGGTCTTGCTCATTCATCTCGTCTAGTTTGCTTTTTGCACTGTCTTTCTAGCTGTTAAGTAGCATTAAGTAGTTAGGTCTTCCTACTAACAGCCACTTGGCACTAACTTCTACACTTAGCTATTGGTGTTCACTACACTCAGGTTTTCTTTTAGAACCTTCAGGGGACTATGGCCTTGCAGCCTAAAAACTGCATGCCAACATCATAGAGGGTACTGTAGTCTTATGTGTATGCCATTTAGAGGGATCCTACCTTTCTCTATCATCTATCTCCTCTCCTTCCCTCCCTCCTTCCCCTCCCCTTTCCATTAACCTATTTTCTGCCAGCTAAACACTTTGTGTACGGTTGATGTCTTTCTTGTATGTATGTATGTATCTTGATCAAATGGAGACTCACTGCCCCAGCATGAGTATATGAGCATATGGACTAGACTGGATCACAACCACATTATGTTATCAACTCCTCCTCTGAACACTGTCAGGCATTCCAAGCTTCAACCATAAATGGGATGATCTATGCCAAAGTGACTTGGTTGAACTGGTCTCCAATTCTGAATGCACCCTTAATGGTGTTAGGGCCAGGAATGTTAATAAATCAAGAGATTCCTGTATTTTGCATAATGGCTGAATTAACCAGAACTGTTTTTCTGATATATTCTGAAAAATTTTTGAAACAATAGCATTAATAAAAGCTAGACTTTTTCAAGTTATATTTTAGGACTATTTTTGTTGCATATTATTAATATGACTGTAGAATAATCATGTAATTTGATAAATATTGGTTCAAATAAATATTAAATTTAGATTAATTCAAATCATGAATACGAGAAAGTGTACTAAATAGCATTAACTAATGCATTTGCTATTCATGAATATCTCTAGTTATCTAATAAAAGAATATTGTTAGTTTTTAAATTTGTTATATTGCAATTTTATAATGTATTTATTCTTAAACTTACCATATAGACTTTTTAGCAAATTAAATATTGTAATAGTTATGATTAAACTTTTTGAGAATATTAAAATTTGTTGCCTCTATATAGATAGAAATAAGAAAAGTTTCTTACTGTTCTTACAAATATGGAAGAACTGATATCTAAGGGAAGAGAAGAAGAAAGAGAAGAAAGTTCCCAAACAATTCTCTGTTCCTTTTATGAAAAGTAATTTAAAATCAGCATATTAAATTTCTGAAAATATGAAAATGATGCAGATTGTTCACTTACTTGTTTTTCTATTGTTCTATCATGCTGGCGTACAAATGCATAATAATGACCAAAAGGTCCATCAACTGAAAAAAAAAATAATAGTAAACATATACTCAAAATGTGACGGGTTACCAATTAATAGAATAGATCTGGCTATTATAGATTATAGCATAAATGTAATTTGATATTTATGAATAAACATAAACTACACAATTTCAATTTTAAAAAAATTTGCAAAATATATTCAGCATATTTTTGATTTGTATTTTAAATTATTCTCATGACTTTGGCATGATTTAATTATAAGAAATTTATAAATTGACAAAAGATCAGATAAAAGTTTTTTAAATTTAGCCGTGCTTAAGCACACGTATACATGTGAATATATTAATATTTCATGCTTGTAAATTTGTAAGACCAATTTTAACAACAAAAATAAGAAAATTAACATAAAAAAATAAATCATTTTATAGTAAAGGAAAATTCATTTAGCAAACAATATAAACTGTGAAGCATTTTATGGAAAGAAGGAACGACCAGGCAAATTATACATCAAATAATTTTGAGATGTGATGCATCCAATAGTACAATTTACAAGAAAAAATGGTTATCTTATGGAAAAATTGGCTCAGAAACAAATACCAAATGCTATTGCATCTTGGGATACTTGGTTTTGGTCCTTACTGAAAGACATGTTCCGTCATCCAAATTGGGAATGAAAAAATTACTGTGAATAGATTAAACTGGGAATCAAAGCCGATACAGTTCTTTTTATTCTAAAATACACATGGTTGCAGGAAAAATACTGTTTGAAAAAAATAAGAAAAGTTCTCAATGTTGATGATGATATGTATATTCCACTTGACCAAGAAATTCCTGGAGGAAAGTTTTTCCATGATTTAGAACATTCTGTCCTGACTGCCAGTTTGCATTTTTAATTCTGATTCAAATTAACAAAGCAGCAGATAATTTTATAGGCACAGGAATATTTCCAACCCATATTATGCAGATGGAACTATCAATACATAAATATATAGTTTCAATTAAAATAACTGACATTATTTTGCATTAAAAATACATAGAAGAAACTAAAACGTTTTCATGTCTCCATCATGTCTAATCACCAACAACAAACAGTCTTCCTTTACAGAAACAACCTTTTATTAGAGACATATTTTTATGGAGATGTAGCCTCTAATAAAATATTGTTTCTGTTAAGGAAGACTTTTGTTACTGGTGATTGAATGGATATGATGGAGATATGAAGACATTTTAGTTCCTTCCGTATACTTTTAGTATAAATATATCTTAGGAATCAATTTTTCTTTATGCATTAATTTTTCATATTCTGGCACTATCACTGACCAAATTTTTTTCAGAACATGGCAAGTGCCCATTATATAAGAATGTGGTCAACTATCTGGAGTCTACAAGCATTCACTTAATTAATATACAGTATTGACCAAGATTGGTGCTTTTATGTTCACAGGCACCAGTGCTAGTCAATACATCCCTATACTACTTGAACAAATCCTATCTGCTCATGTTAAATACTGTAATATTATTACTGTACTTCTAATGTGCTAAAATAAACAATTATTTTTTATTATGAAAATTAAAACCATAATAATTGTTTCATAATTGTCATTTTTATTTATGAAATAGCATATCATAGATTAATACTTTTATCCATTTAAACAGTTTACTTTTGTCAGTTTATTTTATAAACACATTTAACTAAATATTTAACTTCTAGTAAAAAAACTTTTGTTACTAGAAGTTACACATTTAGTTAAATGTGTTTATTAATTCATTCCAGAACTGAGAAGAAGATAATTTTAGTCAATTTATTTATTGAACAATATCTACTATTTGATATACTATTGGACACTATAGATCAGCACTGGTCCCTATAAATATGAAGGTCAGGTCCTTTGGTGCCTCTGGAAATTTCTCCAAATTCACCCTATTATTTAAGATATGAGAAACATTGCATATAAGATGATAATTTTTTAACTTTTAAATAATTTATTTTACATGTTTTCTTTGATGATTTTAAATTAATTAATTCAATTTTCAATCATCATCATAATTATATATTAATATAATTAAGGAAACTTTTTACCTTCCATATCCCATGTTTCAAATTGAAGAGGTTTCAAACATTGTTTATAAAAATTTGCCAAAACGTCATCTTTTACATGAGGAGACTAAAATTTAAAATATAATAATTTTTTAAATGGAAAAGACAAATTTTATTAATAATGATAAATAATTACACAAATTATGATGAGTACTTAATTTTATTTTTGAAAATTTAGCTAATGAAATTTTCAAACAACTAACTTTACTCTTTAAATTATTATAATAACCAAATTCCAAAACTTTTTCTTTATTTCTTATAGAATAATTTCAAAAGAAAAACTGCTATATCAAATTATGTATAAAAAAAATCAAAAAACAAATTTTAAAAATAGTGTTATATAATTTTTTAAAGTGATAAAATTTATCTGAAAGGGGAGAGAGATTATTCAAATTATATCTGTAATTTAATTTATATTATTTTAAACTACTTCTCCAATAAAGGTAATTAATAATAAAAATTCAATATATACAGAAAATAAAGATTAGTTGCTAATATATTTCTATGGTCATCATCAAAAAAAAAAAAAAAAAAAATTCTATTATTCAGAGCATTAGAATTATCTTCACTTGTTTACTTTATAACTATACTTTAATCCAGTAAAAATTATAATGTAAATAAACATATTCAACTAGTTAACATCATTTACATAAACAACTTCAATCCAGTAAAAAAATGTTAAGTTTTGACATTCAATTAGGGATTTAAAATTAATAAAACTTTTATTATTACTATTAATAAAAACTAGTTAACCAGCTGAATGACAAGTATATTTTAAAATTTCACAAAAGAAACACAAAATCCTTATCAACTGTCCATATCACATTCTGGGAACAAACAGTCTTATGGCAGAGTTAACCTTTTACTATAGACTTTTATCCATCTCAATACGTAAAACCTACAATTATAGGTGGATAAGAGCTTACAATAAAAGATCTATTCTGCCATAAGACTTTGTGTTTCTTCAAAAATATTTTTTGTGAAATTGTATTATTACTGTTGTAAAGTTTTTCAATAGAATTAGAAGTCTTTGCATTAATCAGTTTATCATAACAGTGTTAAGTAAATAGAAAAATATCCTGCTTTTCAGAATTTAATTTTTGTAAAATGAAATCTGTTTTTTATTATTTTGGCAGAAAGAAAAATATTCCAATAGAACTACAAAGTGACATTTAGTTTTATCTCTTTGTGGTTAATATATTTTATGAACAAAATATGACTGAGTTTTGTTTACATTTGCAAAGACAAAAGTGTTATCAGATCCATACATAATCTTTATTAATTCATAATGAATATCATATATTTTTTTATACATAAGACTATATTGTCAAAATACACTAATTACAGCTAAAGTTGATGGACAATTAGTATTTACATATAATATAATAACTGATTTAAAGATATATGATTATAATCGCAAATTAATAATATTTTTTTAAATATTCTTGATGTTTTTATTTGTTACTGAATTTATATCATATATCAATTTATTCTGAAAAAATAAAAATTTTCTTGTTAAACTTACCTGTACTGTTTTATATTTTAAAAGTATATCTTGTGATATTTGTGATTGCTTTGGTATAAAATCTGTAAATTCAAATTAAAAAAAAAATACTTAATTGGTCAATATTCCATAATGTAAAACAATAGATAAAACTTTTTATAATGAAAATATAATTAAAGTTCAATCTTAATTGTGTAATAAAATATTTACCTGTAACAGTTTTATACAATGAAGAAAAATCTCTAAAATAAAAGTGAAATTTTTTAAAATTATAATTTCTATCTAAATAAAATCTATATTTAAAAATGTTTCATAAATAATACATTATTTTAAACTTTACTATTTATTTAAAGAAATGAAATCTTAAAAACTGTTGTGTTTATGATGCAATTTATTTATTTATATTTAATTAGAAAACATAATAGTAGTCATACTCAACATTAAAGTCAATTATTCCATTAAAAATCAAAAATAATTTTGTTTTTTAAAAAGAATAAAAAGTATTGTGCCTAAGATAATAATATTGTTTAGTTAATTTTTGATGATTTTATTCTAACAGATTACAAAATTGTAATTTTGTTAATCAGAGATTAGAAGAATGAATAATTAGCATTAAAAAGTAATGCTACTTTAACTTGTATTATTTTCATTATTCTTATTTTATTATTTAGAAGAAATTAGTTAATAAAATAAAAATATTAAATAAAGAAATAAAGTTAGCTTGCTAAGAATCTTATCTCATAATTGGATTAAATGCCAACTGTTGTTTTTTGGGAAGAAAAGTGAAGCTTCAATTGTACTTGCAGAATATTTTAACAAGTGTTATATAACAGAGAGGGCCAACAAGTCGATCGCGATCAACCGGTTGATCACTTGTGATGTCTTGACTTAATGTGTTACATTTGTAACTGAACATAATGCAGAAAACACAACTGTAGTGATACTGGACCTCTGCATCTTTCTCAGATGCGGTTTTGTTGGTCCATGTGCAATCCATTTGCATACAGTTGTAAAAGGGGAATAAGAAATGTAGACAAAGGATCATAAAACCGAAAAAACGAAAGGTGGGGAGAGGGACAGAGAGAGTAGGTCAGGTAGAGAGGAGGAAGGGTAAAGTGGTGGTCTCCGAAAGTGACAACGTTGAATTTCAATTTTTCTTCTGTTTAAATGTAAGTACCTTTCCTTCATATTTTAAATCAAATTGTGGCTTTTCTTACCTATCTAAACATAGTATGTATTTCACACCTCCCTCTCGCCATTTAGATTATGCCTATGACAACAAGTCAACCGCAACACATTTTAAAGATAAAAAATAGATGTTATGTACACAAAAGTTGGCAACCCCTATTATATAAGATTAAAAATCAAAACAGAGCAGCAATGTGATATGACAATTTTCTTGCATCTGCATCTACCATCAGAAGAAAATTACTGATTGACGTTTGATTGAAAGTTTATTTTTGATCAGTAAAGTTTATAAACTAAGTCTACATTAAAACCATTTTTGTGATTATTAGATGTAAATGTATACATAATACTTATAATGTATTTCCTTGATTCTAAAGCATACTTTTTTAAATCTGTTTTTACTTATAGAATAGAAATGCATCTTACATTCACAGTCTAAAACGATAATCTGAAATTACATGTGACGTATTATTACCAATAATAAACATTTTGGCATGTCAATAGTCACATTGTTCAAGTGAACTTTGCTAGTAATAAGCATTTAATTTAAATTTCTTTTTGACATTTAAAATACTTTTGTCAAGATGATGATATGATGTACTAAAAAAAAATTATGGCAGATACAGAAGAATATGGAAATAACACTGCTGAATATTGCCTTTCATGGAATTTGTATCATTTTTCCAACTGTTTGATTTTTTTACTTAACAAAACTTAGGAAAAACTTTTAAATAATCAATTTTATTTCTTTAAAACTTAAAAATATGTTTTCACTTATCTCTTTTATTGTCTATGACACTGTGTATTAAAGTTTATTTATTTTATAAACTTTAAAAAAAGCTTTATTTATTTATTGCCAATATTTTATATGAGAAAGAGAGAGAGGTTTTCTAAATTTTTAGAGTTTACTTTAAAACATAATTCACAAACTTATTTTTGGAAATATCTGGATGCAATTGTTATTACTTATTTTGTAAAGATTAAATCTGCAATTATATTACATGATTTCAAGTTAATTTGTACAAGGTTTGCATTCTACTATTTTAATTTGCAGCAAATACTGTAATAAACCAAACCTACACAACTTTCTTGCTTGTAAACTAAATTCTAAACTTCATACACATCAGACAAGGCATGGAATCATATAATAGTTACAGATTCATACTTTAGTTAAATATGATAATCATAATAAAATCATAGATTCATAAATTAATTAAACATCTTAAAACTAATTTTTAATTTGAAATTAGATAAATTTAAACCTTGCCAATCTTTCTTCAGAAAATCGATCTTTTACTGTTTGTAAGACCCCAGATGAATATGCCTCATTTTCTTCTGGAACATTTTTATGTTTAGGTGAAGAAATTTTAGGTGAATTTTTACTCATTCCAGGAATACAGCCATTTGCTGCAACTTTACCTAAACGTTCTAATATCCCATTAGACTAGACAAAATTAAACAAAATATTTATCAAATATGATGCAAATAATAAGAATTACAAATTCTTAAAATAATAGAATAATATAAATTTAGAATAGAATAAAATATATCTTTTATAATATAAAAATAATTGAAAACTTACAAAATGTAAGAAGCTTAGTACAATATAGTGACAGCTCATAGATTCAGAAAATGGTGGCGGCCAGATTATAGAATTTTAACATAAATAACAAAACAAAAATAAACCATGCAAAATTAGGCATGTTTTTTATCTGTTTATTTATAGGTTTATGGTATTAAATTATCAATGTTATGAAGAATACCATGACAGGTTCAAAATATGTAAATACAGTAAGCACTAGCATAAATAATAATGAAAACTGAAAAAATTTTTAAGAAGCCCTTAAAATTGAAACAAATGCAATAAAAATGAATATATCAAACAACAAAGCCTGATTTGTATATAGAAACATAACGATTGCCTTAAATAATCAGGCTATAACTCCACTAATTTAATGCTTAATACTAAGTAATTTGCTACTAGAGGTAGACGTTAGGTTCCATCTCTTAACTAAATTAATAATTATAATTTTAATAATTTAGAATCATCTGGAAGAAAAAAATTATTAAACTTATAATCATTAATTTAGTTAAGAGATGGTGCCTAACATCTACCTCTAGTAGCAAATTACTTAGTATTAATCATTAAATTAACAGAGTTATAGCCTGATTATTGAAGGCGATCATTTGGTTATGCTTCTGTAAAAATGAGTAAAAGCAATACATAAACATATGATTTAATATACAGTAGAGCGTCGTTTATCCGAATCAACTGGGGACTGGGGTGGTTCGGATAACTTATTTTTCGGATAACAGATTATGTACGAAAAAATACCTTAACCTATCCCATGTTGAAATTTTTCTCCATTGCGTGTCGCTTCGCGTTGAATTTTCGTCAATGTTAAGCTTAATGTAAACTTTTTAAAATAATAATCATGGCTATTGTATTGTTAAAAGTTACTTCTTTATTTTTTACAAACAAAATATATATATATATTAAAAAATAAAAACAAAAAAATTATAGTTTAGAAGTTAATCTAGTATCAAAAACGTTCAATTCAGCATGACACACAGTCCTTGGAATAACACCACACAAAAGTGTCAGTGCTGCCAGCTATAACACACACATCAACAAAAAAAATATTGGAGTAGCCCAAGATATAGTCGAAGATTTCAGCGCCACAGCACTAGCGAAAATTTCAATTTGCCGACTGGAATTCTTTCGGATAACCGACGTTTCGGATAAACGACGCTCTACTGTATTTAATTATTACCAATTCATTGGAAATACCATTTAATTAAAACAAAATCATTTATATAATAAATTCTCAAATATTTTTGGACTGTTTGCTTGTCCTAGGGATCATCATAATTAAAGTTACAAAATTATTTCTTAAAATATAAATTTAAAAAATTTTTTCTTTTCAATATACATTTAACAATTCTATCCTTTCTGAATGCTCGATTATAATTTAGCAACTTGTAAAACATTAAAATTTCTTAACTATTCTGAACAACTGTATTATATTAATAATTAAAAATAAATAGAAATCAAATAACCAATTTTTATATAAATTAAAGTTATAAGCAAAATATTAAAAACTTAAAAATATTTATAACCAAAGATAAATTATGCTATAATTTTGTTTTGCTGATTGCAACTGTCCTCTGAAAATGAATAAATTGAAAGCATCTGGAAAATTTTGTGTAATGATTTGTTCCAATAAAACAGTGTTTGTAATTTAAACTGTAGCTGAAGAAAAATATATACAGTAGAACCTCAATTATCCGGACCTCTATTATCCGGATTTTCGATTATCCGGATTGTTCGAAATAAACAAAAATTTGACGAATTTGCTGATTTGCACTTGGCGAATTACGATACTGTTTATGTATGTGATGGAATGCATAATTTTTTTTTGTTTCAACAACATCTCACCCGGCACAGTGGTCGTAAACTCTTAAATATATTTTGCGTCGTAATAAATATATAATTTGACATACGTATTTATAAATACAGTAACTTATATTCAAATTATATGATTTCTATGACCAAGTGCGGCATTTGGGCAACTTGGGCCACCGCCTATGCCTCGCTGTCCAAAGGGCCTCACTCCTCGAAGGTTTATGCATTACTTAAAAGCTGCGAACGCGACGAAAAAATTTTACTTGTCATAAAACGATAAATAGTTTATCAAATTTTTATTCATAAAAATGCAGTTTCAACTGCTTTTTATTTTATAAAATGCGTCTTCTTGCGTCACCAGAGGGCCTTTTAAACAATAGGTAGTCTGTTAGCACTGATCAGTAGTAGTTCAAATTCAATACGAACGTTTGTTTCTTGAAAATTTGATCACGATTTAAATACAGTATTTATTTTTAATATTACCGATATGGCATCGAAAAGAAAACGTGTATTATCATTAAAAGACAAATTAAAGTATTTGTTTCGATTATCCGGATTTTTCCTTATCCGGACTACCTTCATCCCCAATTAGTCCGGATAATCGAGGTTCTACTGTATNAATAAAATCATAGATTCATAAATTAATTAAACATCTTAAAACTAATTTTTAATTTGAAATTAGATAAATTTAAACCTTGCCAATCTTTCTTCAGAAAATCGATCTTTTACTGTTTGTAAGACCCCAGATGAATATGCCTCATTTTCTTCTGGAACATTTTTATGTTTAGGTGAAGAAATTTTAGGTGAATTTTTACTCATTCCAGGAATACAGCCATTTGCTGCAACTTTACCTAAACGTTCTAATATCCCATTAGACTAGACAAAATTAAACAAAATATTTATCAAATATGATGCAAATAATAAGAATTACAAATTCTTAAAATAATAGAATAATATAAATTTAGAATAGAATAAAATATATCTTTTATAATATAAAAATAATTGAAAACTTACAAAATGTAAGAAGCTTAGTACAATATAGTGACAGCTCATAGATTCAGAAAATGGTGGCGGCCAGATTATAGAATTTTAACATAAATAACAAAACAAAAATAAACCATGCAAAATTAGGCATGTTTTTTATCTGTTTATTTATAGGTTTATGGTATTAAATTATCAATGTTATGAAGAATACCATGACAGGTTCAAAATATGTAAATACAGTAAGCACTAGCATAAATAATAATGAAAACTGAAAAAATTTTTAAGAAGCCCTTAAAATTGAAACAAATGCAATAAAAATGAATATATCAAACAACAAAGCCTGATTTGTATATAGAAACATAACGATTGCCTTAAATAATCAGGCTATAACTCCACTAATTTAATGCTTAATACTAAGTAATTTGCTACTAGAGGTAGACGTTAGGTTCCATCTCTTAACTAAATTAATAATTATAATTTTAATAATTTAGAATCATCTGGAAGAAAAAAATTATTAAACTTATAATCATTAATTTAGTTAAGAGATGGTGCCTAACATCTACCTCTAGTAGCAAATTACTTAGTATTAATCATTAAATTAACAGAGTTATAGCCTGATTATTGAAGGCGATCATTTGGTTATGCTTCTGTAAAAATGAGTAAAAGCAATACATAAACATATGATTTAATATACAGTAGAGCGTCGTTTATCCGAATCAACTGGGGACTGGGGTGGTTCGGATAACTTATTTTTCGGATAACAGATTATGTACGAAAAAATACCTTAACCTATCCCATGTTGAAATTTTTCTCCATTGCGTGTCGCTTCGCGTTGAATTTTCGTCAATGTTAAGCTTAATGTAAACTTTTTAAAATAATAATCATGGCTATTGTATTGTTAAAAGTTACTTCTTTATTTTTTACAAACAAAATATATATATATATTAAAAAATAAAAACAAAAAAATTATAGTTTAGAAGTTAATCTAGTATCAAAAACGTTCAATTCAGCATGACACACAGTCCTTGGAATAACACCACACAAAAGTGTCAGTGCTGCCAGCTATAACACACACATCAACAAAAAAAATATTGGAGTAGCCCAAGATATAGTCGAAGATTTCAGCGCCACAGCACTAGCGAAAATTTCAATTTGCCGACTGGAATTCTTTCGGATAACCGACGTTTCGGATAAACGACGCTCTACTGTATTTAATTATTACCAATTCATTGGAAATACCATTTAATTAAAACAAAATCATTTATATAATAAATTCTCAAATATTTTTGGACTGTTTGCTTGTCCTAGGGATCATCATAATTAAAGTTACAAAATTATTTCTTAAAATATAAATTTAAAAAATTTTTTCTTTTCAATATACATTTAACAATTCTATCCTTTCTGAATGCTCGATTATAATTTAGCAACTTGTAAAACATTAAAATTTCTTAACTATTCTGAACAACTGTATTATATTAATAATTAAAAATAAATAGAAATCAAATAACCAATTTTTATATAAATTAAAGTTATAAGCAAAATATTAAAAACTTAAAAATATTTATAACCAAAGATAAATTATGCTATAATTTTGTTTTGCTGATTGCAACTGTCCTCTGAAAATGAATAAATTGAAAGCATCTGGAAAATTTTGTGTAATGATTTGTTCCAATAAAACAGTGTTTGTAATTTAAACTGTAGCTGAAGAAAAATATATACAGTAGAACCTCAATTATCCGGACCTCTATTATCCGGATTTTCGATTATCCGGATTGTTCGAAATAAACAAAAATTTGACGAATTTGCTGATTTGCACTTGGCGAATTACGATACTGTTTATGTATGTGATGGAATGCATAATTTTTTTTTGTTTCAACAACATCTCACCCGGCACAGTGGTCGTAAACTCTTAAATATATTTTGCGTCGTAATAAATATATAATTTGACATACGTATTTATAAATACAGTAACTTATATTCAAATTATATGATTTCTATGACCAAGTGCGGCATTTGGGCAACTTGGGCCACCGCCTATGCCTCGCTGTCCAAAGGGCCTCACTCCTCGAAGGTTTATGCATTACTTAAAAGCTGCGAACGCGACGAAAAAATTTTACTTGTCATAAAACGATAAATAGTTTATCAAATTTTTATTCATAAAAATGCAGTTTCAACTGCTTTTTATTTTATAAAATGCGTCTTCTTGCGTCACCAGAGGGCCTTTTAAACAATAGGTAGTCTGTTAGCACTGATCAGTAGTAGTTCAAATTCAATACGAACGTTTGTTTCTTGAAAATTTGATCACGATTTAAATACAGTATTTATTTTTAATATTAC